GCCCTTTTAAATATGTGATGTAAAGTAGGAGTTAATAAATATATATACGAGGCAAACATATATGGATGAGTAGTTGAGTACTGTTTAAATGTGAATGTTGTTTTATACATTTTGATGACTTAAGTTTGTTTGTCATCAATAAAAAATGCATGAAATATCAGATCATTTGGTGTGCTGTAAACGGCTACGCCATGCGAATTCAACAACAACAATAATATACTCAATAGTATTAGATAATATATACGCAGACCTTATCTCTGCTAAGAAACTTTTACATATATAAAAATTAAAAATTATATAAAAATACTGTAAGTCTACATAGTTAATAATTAAAAAAAATATAATAAAATATTATTTAATTCCCTAATAATAACATTTCCACGTAAGAGGGAGGAAGAAAGTACCATTTTTCAGTGATGTGGAGAGGAAGAACTGTTGAAACCTTGGTCTCCAAGGAAGAACTAGTCAATACTCACTAGTGGAATAATAATACATTTTTTGTTTTTGATGTGGAGAGGAATACTTTTGAAATCTTAATCTCTAAGGAAAGCTCCATTATTATATTACAACTCTAAGAAAGCAAATGGACAAAGAACTTTCTATACCGTAACAAAGACTAAAGGACATTATTGACCAATAGTACTAGTCTATTGTAGCCCTTTATGGCTTCTACAAAAACCAGTACTCCTATTAAGTTTTAATACTATTCTGTTTAAATTTCATAAGAGGTAAAAAAACGTATTCCTTGTTTAGCCTTAAGAAAATGTTTAATGACATGTGAGCCTTTCGTTGTATAGACGGAATTATGATAAAGACAAGGGTATTTTTGTCAATATTCATAAGAATATGGACCGTTGTTACAAGGGAAAAGGAAAAAACTGACGCCTACTACGGCTTGCTTCCGTGTGCAGTGCACGTCACCATGAAATAAAAGAAGAAAAATTAAATTAAACATATTAAAAGGTTCAAAAGAAATATAGGAAAATTATATTTATTTGTTTGGTTCTTGGCCATTTGCATGAATGACTTCCAAATAAAATATAATGTCAAGTTGTTTTAAATTTATATATGCTTAAGTAAGTTATTATCGTTTTAAATAAAACTAAATCTTGTTGAAGATTATAAATATCTGATATCGTATTACTTATAACTAATTACTAATCTAAAGAATACTATTTAAAGAGATGCATAATACCAGATCATGTATTATTTCTAATGTAATTGGCAGAGCACCTGGTTTACCCACGCGCTAAGGATTTTTCCATAAAGTGGCATTGAGAAATTAATTATTTACTTTTCGACAATAATAAACATGATTTTCTTGAAATAAATAAAAATTGTCACAAGATTCACTAGTTTGCAATAAAAATAAAAAAACTTTACTAAAGATGATATCAAATGCAAGGAATGTGAAACCTTTAATTTGTCTTAGCATAGGTAGTGGGACAACTGATTTTTTTTATTTTTTTTTATCTATGTGACATAATGAATTAATTTCTCTATTTTTAATTAGAGTTTTGGATTCGAACCTTGTAATGAAGGAAACGAACTCTATACGGCGCTACTTTGAATTAATCGAGCCAGTAGTCTCTGATAGCATAGCAGATGATTAAACAAAAATAATCATTTTTAAAAATTTCATGTACAAAATTTAAGTGGTGCAATTAATTACTAATGACCATTAATTGTTTCATCACGGTATAATTTAGTAATTCTCAGACCTTACATTTAAAGAAGTGATGCTAAGTTGGAGTAATATAAATATACGCAAACACAATGAGTATGTTGTGTATAATTTTGATGACTTAAGTTTGTTTATTATCAATGAAAAATGCATGAAATAACATTTCACTCGGTGTGCTCTACCCATCCAAATTCGAAATAGTAGTATATTTTGAATATGAAATATATTTTTTTAAAGTTCTAAGGTTGCATACAATAAATACTTGTGGTCCGGCCGGGGCATAACGGAAGCTTAGTGCATCAGGCTGCCCCTTTTTACTGATCTAGTATAAGTTGTGACGTACAAACAGATTCTAGGGTCCTTTAATTAAAAGACCTATTCTAAATCTTCGTAAATGAGCTTAAGTTATTTTTTATTGGATGGATGACCCTTTAATTAGATTAAAGAATTTAAAAAACAAATAAAATGTTGTTCTTTTGTTTATTTTTTCTATTCCAATTTCAAATATATTCTATTGAATCGGTCAGAAATTGATTAAATAAAAGATTATTAATATCGGATTATGAAATATTTATAGTTCACCGACAAAGCACTTTGTTTACACAGGCGCCTGTGTCGACTTGTAATATGACATTGAAAAAATTAATTAGTTGCTTTCTGACAAAAATAAAATTTGAGCTTTGTAATAACCAAATTATCGGTAGAACGCGCATCCCCTTAAATGGAACCTAAGAGATAGTGTATCTGAATTAGTCGAGGTTAGTAGGTCTCTCGAAAACCAGTCAGTATTTTCGCGAAATGTATTTACGTACCTCTAACCTAACACATATTATTATCGGTATTCTAACAATTTGAAGATATTTTAATTTTACAAATTTGAAGATCTTATTATATTGGCTCTAACAAGATGCCGATGTAAATATTATTACATTACTTTTAAGTTGAGAAAACTAATAAGTTAAGATATTAACCAAAGAGTAACATCACTTTTTGGAAAAATTGCAGTGTCATACAACTATTTGAGGAGAAACGGGAAGAAAAAATGTTCTCATTTGTTCAACGGCAAAAAGGAAAAATAGCAATCGAATTGATCTCAAGGAAAACGACGTTGATCTTAACAACTTATAAATGGATCAGCTAAAGTTGTCGTGGAGTAATAAGTATTTCTTTTCTTTTTTATATCTGGTCTTGAATTCGAGCTTTAGATATAAATTTGTCTTTATTACAATATGTTTCACTCTTCAATGTAGAATTTCGAGACACAAATTTAAATTTAGTGGAGCCCCGATACGAGCAGACAATATGTTTGTGAAACCAAAAAAAAATTATAAAGGGCTTATAGCTAGTGGATATTATACTTCCACGGTCTATTCAAAGAACGAGGATTAAAATATTTAATCTTTTGTGTGAAAATTGAACAAAAAGATGTATTCACTTAATTACCTTTAATTAATTATTACCTTGACACATTGTAATATGTAAATAAAGAAAAATTTTGGAAAAATAAAATTAATTTTTTGTTGATTATGTAAAAAAACAATTATTTTGAACCAAAATATAAAAGTCAAAATGTCACTTATTATGGATAGAAAGAAATATTATTTTTCAGTGACGTAGAGAGGGAGAACTGTTGAAACCTTGGTCTCCAAGTAAACATTAGTCACTACTCACTAGTGGAATAATTCATTTTTATTTTTTGAAAGCTCCATTATTATGTTAGAACTGAGAAAGCAAATGGACAAAAACGAAAGAAAAAAAAGAGAAAGCAAATGGACAAAGAACTTTTTAGTTTCTATACTACGACAAAGACTAAAGGACACTATCGACCAATAACAAAATACAATTAATTTATGGTTTGACAAAGGATAGCCATCTCCTAATATTTAAGGTGTATTAGAGTACCTATGAGTTTGTGAAATTTATTATCCTAACGCTCTACTAACCGATAAGATTCGGATAAGGGTTTTAGTTATTCTAAGGTCAATATATTCTGTTTAATTAGTGATTAAAGCGGCTAAATAAGATTTAAGGAAAATATTTTAAGTCTTATTTAAACTCATTGTTTTAAAATGGTTGTGAAGGAATTCAAAGTGTGGGGATTAAAACATTTAATCTTTTGTGTGAAATTTGAACATAAATTTTAAAAATATTACATAAGAAATGTTGGGGTATGAAAATTAAATGTCTGTCTACATATTTAATAATTTAAAATATATTTTTATTTTTTTTAAAAATCGTAATAAAATATTATTTTTCAGTGACGTGGAGAGGAAGAACTGTTGAAACCTTGGTCTCCAAGGAAGAACAAGTCACTACTCACTAGTGGAATAATAATACATTTTTTGTTTTTGATGTGGAGAGGAATACTTTTAAAAGCTTAATCTCTAAGAAAAGCTCCATTATTATATTAAAACTGTGAGAAAGCAAATGGACAAAGAACTTTCTATTCTACGACAAAGACTAATCGACCAATAGTACTAGTCTGTGTAGCCCTTTACATTTTTTTTTTTTTTTTTTT